TATATACAATATCAAATAAAGAAATTATGCTTACCTATAAGGGGAAACCTCCCAAAAAAAAATTTATTTATTTATTTATTTATTATTATATTGTTTAAAATTTATTATAAATTATTATATTAAAAATATATATATATATTATTTGTTAATACTATATTTTAATTTATAATTATTGATATTTATTTATATATTATTAAAATTATTTATATTTAAAAATAAATTATTGATTTAATAATATTTAATATAATAAAAAAATAAAAACTAAAACTCTTTCTGCTGATCCTTTTGCCAACTCAAAAAACAACATTCTCAAAAGACTTTTTGTCTTTATAATAATAAAGTCTATACACTTTCTTTAACAATACTGATTCCCTAACCAACAGAGCAAGCAGAAGTAATTACTTGTTTTCTTTTTCTTTTTCAAAACAATTTTCTCATTTATTTTTGATGATTAAATACAAAAAACCTACCTAAAAGGTTTATAGCAAGAACACCTTTCTAGGAAAAAAACTGACAAGAAAAAACACCATCCAAAAACTTCTAAAAGATTCAAAAATCCAGAAAAACAAAAACAAAGAAGTTTCTAATCTTTCTATTATTTCTTTGGCTTTCCTCTTTTTTTTTCTCAAGTGTGTTTCCTTTTTTCTGATTTTTCTAAAGAATTTTACCTACTTCAGTTTAACCTTGAATTTTGGTTACCTAAATCTTCTAAAAGATGATTGGTCAAGGCCACAAATTGGTTGATTACGTCAATCTCAAAAAAAGTAAACAAGACATATACTCCTTACGTGTTTTCAGTCACGCAATACCAAACTGATGATATAATTGGTTCTTGAAAGAGTTGGACAGTTTTTGGTTAAAGAAATAGTATAAGATTATTAGGTGAAGTAGAAGTTATGAGTAGAAGAGGAGCAACCCCTTTTTGTTCCTATCATTTTATTCCCTTTTTTATTCCCTATTCTTTCTTGAGGACAGGAAGTAGCAATAAGGTCTAGGTCCTATTTCAATCTGGTAACAAGTTGAAGTACTGATGTTTAATCCAAAAATGGTTAGAGAAAGGGATCATGAAACTATCCACCAGTTAGTAAAGCAATAATTTCAGAAGATATAGCTTGGGAGAGTAATTAACAATAGAAAATCAATATCCTTTCTGATTAGAAGTCTTCAAATGTAAAGTTTTATAAAATACTCTTCTGGAAGTGTCCTTAAACATTCTTGGACGTCGATTATTCCAATGGAAATTAAACAGTTTGACTGGTCACAGGTGGTGAAAAGTGGAAAACTATGAGGGACTTAGGTTTTAAGTTTATCAAGATAATCTTTTCAATGATATTTAAAATAGATAATAGCTTTTTTTCTTTTCTTTTTGTCAAAAAATTCTTTTTTTATTCCTTTTTTTACTTGTGTAGTTTCTACAAGAGAGAGGTAACACAATTTGGATTTATAGTCATGACTGTGGAGATGATCTGCAGGTTTGGATCTTATTGGAAGTTTGGGATCTTAATTTCATTCTTTAGGGGAACAATATATCATCTCCATAAATCATATCTAGAGGTTTCAGCTAAAAACAGGTGAGTTGAGCCAAGAAAATTTGTATTTTGTATGTATTCTCGTGTGTGTAATAGTTCTTTGTGATTTAATAAATAAACAATACCAACCTGATTGTGGGATTAAAAAAAAAATAAAATAAAAATTATATTTAATATAATAAAAATATAATTTATTTATTTATCATTTATTATTGTCATATTTTTTAAAATTTATTATAAAATAATTTAGAATTTGTCAATACAGTATTATTATTATAATATAATTATAAATATATATAAATATATATTTCATATTAAATTTTTTCCTGCAAATCCTATTGACTTTGATTATTATAATTACTTATATAACAATATAAACCAATTTTTTATAAAATTATGGAATTTGACAATTATATAATGTGATTCCAAATTATAATTATCAATATAATATATAAAATACACTAGTATTTTTAATCCTGGAGCATAGTTTGAACTAACACACACTATTTAGGGTCAGTAAAAGACTAAAATGCAATTCTCTGTTACTATAAAATCTGAGAAATCTGAGAAATTTAAGTTTTTTTTTAAATTTTAGATCTGGGTTTCATTTTGATTTTAATTTTTTAAATTTCTTTTTTTTTTTAGATTTTGTGGATTTTTGTTTTTTGTTTTTTTTTAAAATTTTTTTCATTTTTTTCTAATTTTAATTTTTATTTTTATTTTGTTTATTTTTTTTCTTCTGGTTTTTGATTTTTTGAAAATGTTTATTTTTTTTTGGTTTTGGATTTTGTTTTTTTTTCATATTTTTTGATTTATTTTTTTGAATATGATTTTTTTCTTTCGGGTTTTGGTTTTTTCTTTTGAATTTGATTTTTCTATTTCAAGTTTTGGTTTTTTCTTTTGGATTTGATTTTGGGATTTTATTTTTTTTTTTGGATTTTATTTTTTTATTTCAGGTTTTAGTTTTTTTATTTTGACTTTGGTTTTTTTATTTTTTATTTTTTATTTTTATTTTGGATTTAGTTTTTTTATTTCAAGTTTTAGATTTTTATTTTGGATTTAGTTTTTTTATTTCAAGTTTTGGATTTTTATTTTGGATTTAGTTTTTTATTTCAAGTTTTGGTTTTTTATTTCAGATTTTGATTTTTTATTTCAGATTTTGATTTTTTATTTCAGATTTTGGTTTTTTATTTCAGATTTTGGTTTTTGATTTTGGGTTTTGATTTTTTATTTCAGATTTTGATTTTTTATTTCAGGTTTTGGTTTTTTATTTCAGGTTTTGGTTTTTTATTTCAGATTTTGTTTTTTTCTGTTTTTTTTTAGTTTTCTGGATTGTTTTTTTCCAGGATTTTTTTTAATTATTTTATTTTATAAATTATATTTTAATAAATTAATTAAAATGTAAAGTTTAATTGAATATGATTTAATTTAATTAAAATATAAAGTTTAATTGAGTTTAATTAATTTAATTTAGTTGATTTAAATTTAATTTATTAAAATATAAAGTTTAATTTAGTTTAATTAATTTATTTGACTTAAATATAAAGTTTAATTTAATTTAATTTAAATACAGTTTATTAAAATATAGAGTTCGATAACTTATTTAATTTAAAATTTAGAACTATTTAAATTAATTTAATTTAAATATAGAGTTTAATTTATTTAACTTAATTTTATTAATTATAATATTTATAGTATTATAATATTTGGATTGTATGATTTTTATAAAAAAGTTAATAATTAATTTGTCATATTTGAATATAATAAATGTTTTTTACAATATATATTTTTTATTATTTAAATTAAACAAAAAATAATATATATTTATAAAACTTATTTATTTATAATATTTATTATTATATTTTTAAATTTTAGTATAATTTAATACAATTTAAATAGTTTAACATAAAATATTTTGATATTTCTTATTTTAAAAAATAATTTATACCAATATTATTATTTATTTATTTTTATTATAATAATAATATTTATTTATTTTACTATATAAAATACAATAATATTTTTAATTTTAAAATATAACTTAAAAGATGAATTATTATTTATATATTATTATATAATTTTATATTATTTAATGCAATTAATATAACTTTATACAATTTAATACAATTTATTATAATTTAATAAAATAAATTTATATTTATTATATTTTAATATATAAAATACTTTAATATCGTTAATCCCGGAGTATAGCCCGGGCTAACGTGCTAGTTAGATAAATAGAGTAATATTCAAACTTTAAAAATTATTTAATAAAACTAAAGCATATGTTTGTATTTTTTTTTTTAATGCACAGTAAGCACTATTACCAAATAATTACTGAATCTAATAAAAAGTCACATGAAGATCATCATCTAAAATCCTTGGAAACACAGTCACGGTAAAATCCTTGACCTCATGATACGTTAGTGCAGGGGTTTAGGTAAGTTTAAGAGTTTCTGTGATTTGGAGGGAATTTATTAGAACTGTGTATTAGTTAAGTGGAGATACTTCTGTCCGAGTTCGAAGTTACTGTTTTCTTTATTAACACCACTTCATTATATACTTTCTTACACACGATAAAATAAATAAAAGAAATAACGAAAACACAGTAACAAGGCCGAGGGTCGATTACCTTTTTTGGCAACCTTCTTAATGCGCGATCGTCGGGACGCCATATTAAGCCACTAGCGTCAATGCACCTTTTCCTCATAGCACTATAAATGTTACAAATCATATTTAAAATATCAAGATTTACAGCAGTTAAGTTGATAACTTTTTTAAATGAATCATTTAAAAGTTATTAATACATGGCAATAATTTGCTTGTCTAATAAGTGTATAACAATATGAAAATAAAAGTTCCGTTAGATTTCTTATTTATTACAGTACTTCAGCGTAAGTTCTCTTCTGAATTTTATTGAAAACAATGTTGAAAAATTTATTTTCATTTCTTTCGTCTTTTTGTATACATTTACTATTAAGAGTAAGGTATATTGGGAAAAATGGAATTCATATGAAGAAACAGCATAGATACTCTTTATACAGCAAACGAATAAACCTTATAATATCGAATACACTAACTACTAAGATCGAAACGAAACTAGTAGGGACTAATGACGAAAGAATTTATATCTTTTTGCACACCCTTTGTTTAAAGAATTTTAGAACTACCTGACATATAATATAAATTTATATAAATGTTTTCTAAGTGTTAACACTCCCTGTTGTTTTCTCTTGCTTTCAGATTATTTTATGTAATCGACAACAATTAATGCATGCTTGTATTGAATTTTTTTAAATTGAACAAAATATGTTCAAAGTAAAGCCTTGCAACTTCGAGTATTTTATTTGTCAAAGGGAATTTTTACATACATAATAGGTTAATGAGAATTTCTACCAAAAACTAAAAAAAAGGGGGATAATACATATCAATATTCGAAAGTAAATAAATAATAAACTATTTGTCCCAATATTAGAACGATTCGTCTCCATTCATCTGTTTTTCTCTTTTAATAAATTTAATTAATTCATCAATTTTCTCATTGGATTTTTCTATTATTTTATAGAGATCTTCGATCTTTTCATCAGATTTTTTAATCTGCATTCCAAGCTTTTCAAACTCACTACTATAATCAAAAATATCCAAAATATCCTTAGGAAAGTTTGGTCGTGATATTGTATCTTGATATTCAGATTTCATTTTTTCAACGTATTTTTTCAGCTCGTCAACCGAGGCTTCGTAGTACCTTAGCAATTTGGTCGTGTATAAAATCAACATTTGATAAATGATCCAAAAAATATCGTAGAAATGTGTAAAGATAATTACAATATTTCTGGAAACCAATTTTTATTTCTTCTTTGGTAGGGTAACATCCAAAAAAGTTCAATCTCTGATAACATCTAATAATAAATTTTACGTTATTAGGATTTACTTAAGTACTGTATATATAGAATTATAACATGATATTAAAACACAGTACCTCTCCTCTTAGGAAAAGAAATGCTTCTTCATTATCTGTTTGATCAATTGCCATACCAAGTAATCCAATAAACAAATTTAACAAATAAATCGTTGTAAAAAATGAAAACACGACTAATATGATCACCAATGTCCAATCTTTTTTCAGAATCCATGGAGATACTGCACTTGAGTCTCCTAGCATAACAAAATTATAAATTAGTATTTGTGTTACATGACATTATATTCCTAAATGAAGTTAGTACGGTACCTGTTAACATAAAATACATTGCTAATAGTGAAGTATCAAATCCCGCAAATAAATTTGTGTTTTCATCTGGTGTTGCAATAAGAGATGGTCCTCCAACAGTACCATCAGAAGAAATAGACAAATATCTTTCAACAAGATTCCAGGGATTGTTTTCATCGCCGTTATAACTTGGTTGATCGTAAGAATACTTAGTGGTGGGCCTTAATAAGAGATGCAAAGAATGGGAAAATACCAAAATTATAGCACCCAAAATAACGAGAAAAGAAAAGATCTTTATCGCTACTCTGGTCATAATTGCAAAATATGCTCCAAAGTAACTGAGAGCACGGAGAAATAGTATGTATTTAAGTTCAAGACAAAGAACCGATAATGTGATGACCCGTATTGATGGTGGCGTTTCATCACTCAACCATTTTAATGAAGTCATTGTTGGGAATAATATCGCAGCAAGGTCTAAGATATTAAGTTAAATAAAATTTTTTATATGAAAATAATGAATGCTTAATTTGTATAGATATATACATACCAAACCAATTCCAAATACTTCTAACATAGAGTTTCTTGTTTTGAAAAAATTGACGAAGTTCGAAAATAAAATGAAAAAGGCCAAGAATTATGGTTATTACTAAAAGAATTTTCTGACTTTCCCATGAAATTTTATCGTGTGGTATTGTCGAGACCGTTGCAAAAGAAAGCAAAAATAATGAATAAATTGCCCATATGAGAAAGTAATAATGTTTTCCATATGCGTCCCACTTAAACTTGACAAGAGCTTTAATGTTCAACCACTTAAAATATTCAGAAGTATCAAGTGAAGTAAACGGGTTATTAGGTACATAAATCAATTCCCTGTAAGAATATTCTTCCGGATAGGTGGCAAAATTTAACAAAGGTATCATAAATTTAATAGTTGTTCTATTGTAAGAAGGAAAAAAATTTTGGATAAATTTTGGATAATTTCTTATAAAGTTTTTCCAATTATTGGAGACCCAGGGAACTATGCGATCAAAGAGTGAGGTGTATAAATGTATATAATTTCCACAATGTTCAAGATGACGCGACGCAGAGGATTCTTCTATGCAACTTTCAAGATTACCGGGAATTAATGACACGGTTTTCGCCAAAAAACGTTCGATAAATCTAAAATTTTTGTCGTATGCCTCGAAGTTTAGAAGTGAAGAGTTAATTACACTCATCACTTTAACAAATGGGATGATATCTATATTATTTATATTTAGCATTGATAGTAAGTGTTCGAAGAGATCCCTAATTTGTTTAGAGCGTTCATTTCCAATTAATTCACGAATCAGTTCCTCTCCATATAACTTTGGAATCTGTTCGTCCTTTAAATAATACTCTAGCAAATTACTGCAAGCATAATTTTTCTTGTCACTTCTGTATATAAGATGACGTTGGTATTTAATAATTTGATCGAAGTACGGTGAGGGTGGCAAGTCTTCGGAATGGAATTTTTTTTCGAGACTATCAAGTTGAATTTTCAGAGCCTCTCGACTGTCTTGAGTTGATAGATGTTTATCAAGATCAAACCAAAAATAAAGTAAATTAATCCCACTATTGGCATTTTCTGCTGTCCAGATATATATTCCAAATGATGAGATCATTATCAAATCCTCGCTTTTAAGAAGTTTAAATACTATCTGACTTTTTTTTACTCCTACTCCATTCTTATGTTTCCAAACGTCTATTTCTCCCACTTCCTTCTTGTTTTTACGGGCTTTTAATGTTACGTAATTCGAAGAGTGCTCAACGGTCCAGGTGTACAACTTTCCTGAATATTTGCCGTTGCCGTTTGAATCCTTAACTTGATCGAGTTCATAATTTTCTAAAATATTTTTTATCATTTTTTTAACTTCTTCTCCACTGAAAGATAGAGCAATCCTATTATACTCTCCAATGTTTTTACTAAGCTTGAAGTATTTTTTTAAAAAGGACTCATCCCCTCTTTGAATTTGTAAACGATTACCATTGACCAATACAACACCATCGGATATAGCAGTAAGTATGTTCCATGAGTCAAGATGCGAAACGTCGCAGTCAGGATCCAATGAGTCTGAGACCAGATCCAATGAGTCTGAGTCAGGGTTCATCGATTTATTTTTTACAATTCTCATATCAGAAAGGTTGTAAGGATTCATTACACGCCAGTATTCGCAATAAACGAGCAAATTTTCCCCTTTTTCTGATTTAAAAAAATTAACCCTTTCGATGTCATAAACATTTTTAAATGAGTCTATTAAGTAAAAATTGATTAAAAAATTGATAATTTATGACCACGTGATATTTCAATCAGTAAGTACTCACTTTTCGTTATCATTGTACTAGATTTTGTTGAATAAACATAGACTGCCAAATCTGTATTTAGTTTATTTAGGTTTCTTCTTCCAGCTACTGCCAAAAGTGTGTTGTCATCGTTCAGTTCCATCTGTATGGGATTCTCATCATTCATATCAAAAGCCAAATCCAATACATATTGTGCCTCGAACTTTAGGGTTTCTAGATCCCATTGCATAATTACAGAAGGTACATCTAAGAGAATCAGCAGTTTTCCTTTTCTAGAAATAACATATTTGTGATATTTATTGATTTCAATGCTACCCTTATGTCTCCATTGATGTCCACTGTTGAAATCTGGTTTCGAAAATATGTAAGCCCTATAAGAAGGTTCTCCCTTAACCATTACTACATCTCCATTTTCAAGAAAGGAGGCCCCGTCAACCGCTCCTGTTAAACTTTGAGCTTTTAATATCTGTTCAGATCCGGTTTGAATATCAATTATTTCTATTGCAGTAATAGAATGTATTGTATGTTAGAAAGATTAATAATTCCAAAATAATGTAATTATTCGAATTATCTTACCAAAGTCGTAAGCTTTGCCTCTACTTTTCTGTAATAAGACGTACTTATAATCTAAGACCCCTGACAGAGTCCATTGATTTTTTATATAACTCCCAAGAAAACGTGTACAGACAGGTTCGAGTTCGGAATGTTCATCATTGATTTTCCACACGACAATTGAATTATCATTATCACTTATGGTTGCAACATATTTCATATTTGGTGAATAAACGAGTTTAGAAATACTTTTTCCATTATGTGGATTAATATTTGTGTCTTTATACGGGGATATTTTATCTACGATAACCTCAAATTCGTTTTCTTTTTCTTCATAATCGTCGTAGTCATGTTTACTCATTTTCTCTTGAGAAACTAAATTATTCGTACGCACAGTAAACTATACCCGAAAGGCTAATACGAGAAGCAATTTTATAACCACAATTTTAGTACCGTATGCATAACTTGAGTAACTGTGAGGAGAATTCTTATCATCATTTTTTGCTCCAAAATTAGGTTTATTACAAATACATTAAACACATTAATAAAGAGATACAGTATTTCTTCTCGAGAAACACGACGAGTCTGTGCCAGTCCCAGAATGGCAATCAACAATAAAAATTGGTATTATTAAATGTATGGGCTAACCTTTCGTTTTATGCACGCATTGTGTACCAAACATTAGGTACTTTCGCTGCAGGTGCGCCTACAATGATTTCAAATGAAATTTCCGAATTACGGGAATTAATATAAAAATATATGACCAATCAGATAATTTTTATCGTTTAAATAAAATTTCTCAAAAACTAAGAAAATTCTCAAACTATAATATATATATATATTTGATCATTATAAATATCTCACGGAATTATCATTGTTTTAATATAAAATAAATTAATAGAAAATTTCAATATTTATAGGTTTTTATTGAAAATTTAAAAAATTCTAATAATAAAAATTTTTTTAATAAAAATGAATAAATAAAGTATACATGTATAGATAACAATAACATGAAATATAAATATTAATTATTTTTTTTAATTGAATTAGTAACTTATAAATTTCTTTTTTTCTTATTAAAAAAATAGAAAATTTTTTTATTATCTTGATTATTATTTTTTGATAAACCAATAAAAAGTTTCTAAAATTAGACAATTATAATTTTTTATATATTAATAAATTAAAATTATTAATAACTATTGTTAATTTATTATTAAAATTATTTTTATTTAATTAATATTTTTATTATTGATATATTTTTTTAAAAGTTAATTCAAAATTAAAAGATTTTAATAGTTTTTCAATTAATATTTTTTTGAAAACTAGTTGAATCTTGCTTTATTAATCTTTTAATATTGTTTTTTTTTTTTTTTTTAGTAAATAAATATCATTTCGTTATTTAAATTGTATAATATCAAATATACAGTACATTGTAAAAGAAATAACATTTTTTATATGTAAAAATACAACAAGTTAAATGCTAGCTTGTCTACAGTACTTACTTAACTAATATTGAAAAGAAATTTTAAAATAATATATCTTGGCAAAAAGTTCTAAATAGCTATGATTACCTATTTAATATTGAATAAAAAAAATTAAAATAATTGAAAATTAGTTTGAATATGCATTTGAAAAAGTTATAACCACTTTTGATATAAAATATTGTAACTATAATTGATGGACTAATAATAGTTGAGATTAATATGAAAATATAAAAGAAATTATTAAATAATTCAAATTTAATTATATCCTTGATAATTGATTTTGCTGAAATATTGAAAAAATTATTATTTTATTTAATACCAGTAAAGAAAAAAGTATTTATTATAGTATAGCAAAATATCCAGATTGATTTGTATAAGTGAATTAGAGTTTCAATTAATGTTTTGACCCAATTGAAAAAGTTGGCTATAGAGAAAATAATATTAGTAATATTGTATATCAATTTTACTAATTGCTATGCATATGAAATTAATTTGTAATTATCATCAGGATAAAAAATACTATTAACGATGTTAATAAGTTAATTAACTTTTTTTAATACTGTTAAACACTTAAAAATATATTGAATATCTTTAGTATATAAACTGTTATCATATATCATTTCTACCTCAGGAGAAGGATAGAGACGGAGAACTAGTAGCAGGGAGGCACTTTAGATGGACAGGGCCAATGTGATATGCTAAAGTTCCTAGAGGCATAC